CTGGAGAAGCAAGTACCTCTGGACAGCATTCTAGGCAAAAATTGGGTAAGAGACAATAATTTTGGGATTTTAGTTCCTCTGAGTCCTCTGGAAAGGTTGATAAGTATGGCTGAGGTATGTGGGGTGGACTTTGGGTTTAAGCTGAACTAAGCTGAGACCTGAGGTTAGCACTGGGGCTCTGGGCAAATCTTATACATTCTCTGGGCTCCTGAATGCTAGCTCATACATTGTTTGGAAGCATTACATTGCATTTAAAAGAATTGACACATCCAAGTTGTCCAGTAAATCCATGTATGATAATAGTGACCATGCTTTCTCAGTGTTGTATACCCAAGTCTTTGCTCAATGCCTTACACATAATGTGCCCTCAACAAATATTTTCTGAATAAGTAGATTTGTGAATGAACCATTTTGTAAATTGAAAGGCTGGGAAGTTAAATCTGATAACGGGAAGAGCTAGAAACTACAATTGAATCAGCCACTTGTAGTCAGGGTAGAGTCTGAGTCTCTGAACCAACAGTTAAGGACGGAAGAACAGAGTACACAGAAAGACAGGTGATAATTTGATAGGGGGAAATTTCGTGTTTTCTGGCAAAACAGGGACTAACACTCCAGAGCCCACCTCGCTCACCCGCTCTTCCCCAACTTAGGACTCAGGAGAAAGAAGACTGAAGTGAAGATGTACAGCCTGCGGGAAAGAAGGGGCTGTACCTACCAAGAGGTCAGCGAGCCCCAGGATGATGACTACCTGTGTAAGTGACCCTCACAAACAAGGCTGTTACGTCTTGATACAATAGGGTCAGATGGTCATGTGGTTCCCGTCATTCCCTTCCTCTCGTGGCCTGGAGTACAGGATTGAGGCTCAGTGATGTGACTGCCCGGGCTGTCTCTGAAGCTCTCTTTGTTCAGGAACACGCACCTCACCTTCCCTAAACCCTGTTGCTCTCGCCTCCAGATTGCGACACGTGTCAGAACTTCTTCATTGACAGCTGTGCTACTCATGGGCCCCCTACATTTGTAAAGGACAGTGCGGTGGACAAGGGGCACCCCAACCGCTCAGCCCTCACTCTGCCCCCTGGGCTGAGAATCAGACCCTCAGGCATCCCTGAGGCTGGGCTCGGAGTGTGGAACGAGGCGTCCGATTTGCCGCTGGGTCTGAACTTTGGCCCCTACGAGGGCCATATCACAGAAGATGAAGAGGCGGCCAACAGCGGATACTCCTGGCTGGTGAGAAGCATCCACCTGTCCCCTGTCCCCTGTGGGTTGGGGGCCCCCACCTACATGCTGGGACATACATGAGGACGATACGTTTAGTTCTGTGTGCTGAGTGCAATTTGCATGAACATGGCACTCCCGTTAGAACACAGGAGGGTAAGTGGGAGCAGAGTGGTGCAGACACAGCGGAGCGCCTCCTCCGTGTGGGGCTCCTGCTGAGTGGACAGGTGGACTCAGTCATGTAGATGGTGAGCGAGAGGCACATCATGTGGTCACAGCTGGCAGTGGGATCCATGCAGGCTGAAAGCGCCTGGATGACAGTAGGATGGGACGATTCCTCTATTACCTCCCTTCCAAAACAAAGCCTTTAACTTTTTTTCCTGAACCTCAGATCACCAAAGGGAGAAACTGCTATGAGTATGTGGATGGAAAGGACAAATCCCAGGCCAACTGGATGAGGTAAGGCCGGTCAGTCTCTGAATTCTAGACAGGACTCTCATTGACCACAAACCCCTAGTCCTCCCCTTCTCATCAAGCCTCCCTCAATGGTCCCCCTCAGCCCCCTGTTCCTCTTTTTTCTCCACACAACGCTCTTTCATACCAAGAGACTTTAGGAAAAAAGGAGATAAAAATATAGCGCATGTCCTCAAAATGTACATCTCTATGCTAGACAAACTTTGGGCCCTGGAAAAGACCTTGAGGAGATTAGATTCACTGGGGACAATGGATTCACACTTTAAATTTATCTAATCAACACTTATTTAGACAGTGGGATTCATTAATTACATAGCTCACACAACCCTGGTCCTTATAGATGAATTACTGCAAGCAGACATGAAACAATTTTAGCAATATTTAACTATAATTTTCCTATTTTTGAGAAGTTCACAGTGCCAGGATAGCCTAAAACAAGGGACCTTTGATCTGTGAGGAAGCAAAGCACCCTAGCCGCGGTTCTAAGCACACCTGGGTCCTGAATCCTGCAGAGCACGAACGAGTCACAGGCTGGCCATGGGCTCCTTGGCCTCACGACCCAGCCCCTTTCCTTGAGGGGCTCTCTTTTATCGGGGGGGGTACAGAATGTGAATGAGCTTTACTGTCCTGTGTTACTGTGCTGTGACAGAGACCACCGAGGGCAGGGGGAAGCTTTCTAGGCAGCACCTGGATGCAGGAGTCCACAGGACATTGTGAGAGGGGCTTGGATGTGGACAGAACGTCCCCCAGGAGTGCAGGAGGCAGTGGGCGACATCAGAGCCTGAAGGCTTTCAGTATCAGGAGGGGAGCTGGGCGTAGATCCGACACGTAGTGGGAACTTATCACCTGTGGTTTTCCTTCCTTTCGCCTGTCTCAACCCCAGGTATGTGAACTGTGCCCGGCATGACGAAGAGCAGAACCTGGTGGCCTATCAGTATCACGGGCAGATTTTCTACCGAACCTGCCAGGTCGTCAGGCCGGGCTGTGAACTGCTGGTCTGGTACGGGGACGAGTACGGCCAGGAGCTGGGCATCAAGTGGGGCTGCAAGTGGAAGCGAGAACTCAGTGCAATGACAGGTGGGCAGCTCGGCTCTTCTTCAAAATGGAAAGAAAAGAAAGGGTTCTTGGAAATGCCCACGGCCCAAATCCAGTCTAAAGTCAGTAGAATTTCAAATCAGATGCTTCAGAAATGAAGGGTTCATTTCATACACCTTTGACTCTTAGGAAAAATTTTTATGTTTTTAATTTTTGTTCTGATTTTTTTATCCCCCAGCTGCATTTCAGATTGAAACCCATTCACAGTCAATGGGACCTTGACCCCCTATCTTGTCCAATCTGGGTCCCATTTCCCGACGGAGACCCAGGCCCATAGGGGTCCTCAGCCTTTTCAAATGGGAGACTCAGATTCAGGGCTACGCAGATGCTCCCTGTAACCACGACTCTATCCTCCCTCCACATTTGTGGGTCCCCAGGCTGGGTGCCTGCTGACTTCACAGATCCTTTCCCCACGTAGGACGTCACTCAGGACAATTCCACCTAAGTCATCAAGAGTGTTCTCAGCTCTCAACAGAGTAAAATAGTTGCCGACACTGTGTCATGTGATATGCTTTTTAAAAGACTAAATTCAGACGCATACATTTGAGGTTCTAATTGGCTTTATTCATGAGTCAGCAGAAACCCATGTAGCAACTACCAGGGCGCCCCAAAGGGTTGTACAAAATGGACAGTTTTTATATGAAGAAGGGTGGGCAAGAGAGCTATTAACAAAAGAAAGGATTATGTGTGAGCGGAGACATCTTTGGGGGAAGAGTTTTTATCAGATAGATTGCCTCTTCTTTCTACGGGGAGGGATGGAGAGGGTCCACAGACAACCTTTACTGGTACTGACCAGAAAACTCCAGAATGGTGATGAAGACGGTGTCTCGGAGAGGCTGATACTGCAGTTAGATCAGGTATTAAATCTAGGTTTGGTTTCATGGGCTTTTAGCATGAGTGACACCGTTTGGGGCCTGTGGTTTTTCTCTTTAATGTGACTTACAAGAGAAGTCTATGGGGAAAGGTCACTGCAGTGCCATCTATATAAGGACTGAAACTGCCTCTGATGCTTCTTGAAAGTCCCTACTCTGGGCAGTGTGTAGAAAAGGCCCTTGATAGGGGCTTTCTGGATTTCTGAAGATGTAGTGCATAAAACATGGAATGAAAAAATAGACTGTAAAGCAATACTTTGTGGGAGACAGGGTTTGCCTTGTCAACACACTGACAATGACCAGTGGGGCCGCTCTCAGCAGGACACAGAGCATACGGCCCAGGCAGCCTTGTCAACACCTGCCCTGACTCAAACTTTCTCTTTCAGCAGGAACAACGCCAGAGATCCATCCTTGTTCCTCCTGCTCGCTGGCCTTTTCCAGTCAGAAACTCCTCAGCCAGCATGTGGGCCGCAGTCACCCCTCTCAGGTCCTTCCAGGAACACCAGCAGGAAAACACCTCAAATCAGAGGAACCCTGCCCAGAGAATCTGATTCAGCATCAGGGGACACACTCAGGGGAGAAGCCCTATGTTTGCGGGGAGTGTGGGCGAGGCTTCAGT